GATGTACAACAATGAATCCATAACATAACTACATGCGTCTAGGTTTGCTAGCTTTTTTATGCCTTGGCATCATCCTACGGTTGTATAATACATATATTGAGGGATAGAATAAAACCCTAAGTGATGACGATTATTACGTTCAAAAATCCGACTAATATATACCGAATCGATGCGAAAAAAACTAGGAGAAGCCGGAGCTAGCAGGAGCTCCACAAAACTGGCTCTTAATAGTATTTTGTCCATCAAGAAAAATATTACAATACGTGTTAAGCGGAGGGAAACATCGTTCAAAAGTCAACAAGGGCCAAGGTGGGGTTGTGTACATGTGTGGTTAGCCAACAAATAACATTTTAGTTGACCTCATAATTGTGCTTCATATAGCTGCAGATATCCAATTGAACTTTATCTCGCAAAAATTGCTATAGGAAGACCTCCGTCTGGGAGGGAATGTACATACCCCTTCAGTTTTAAATATATTTTAAGTTTTAAATATATGATGTTGAGAACAAGCTAAAAATGCTACATTTTTAAAACCAGAGAGTTCAGTTGGGTTAGACCGGAGTTTAGTTGGACTAAATAAATTCCAAACTCAAAACTCTCCCTCTCTATATACACATTTAAAAAGTACTTACTTATTTTAAACTTAAAAAAGGTAACCTTGATTGTTTGCGTCTCTGTGTTTTGGAAAAAAAAAATGAAAAGAAAAGCCGAATTAGGCCCATGCCGGATTGGAGGAGAAAGCCCACGTGTGCAACTTTTGGACCTGCCCGCTTCACGACATGCCCGCTTCCACGGGCCCAGGTGCACCGCTTGCAGGCTCACAACGAGGTCCAGTCGTGCGGGTGTTCTTGTGGAGGCTTTCACGTCAATCTATCCCGACTGGAGATGTGCGCCACCGAAGGAACATGTCGCCTAATAGTTCTTGTTCAATCTGCGACGACACGGATTCGTAGAAACATTCGCTACTAGACTGCTTTGTGGCAAAAAGGAGTATGGACATTGGAAAAGAAGAAATCACAGAGTTCTTATGCCAAATATAGGAGATAGACGCACGAGCGTGGCTTGCGGCAGTTATGAAGCATCTTGCACATGACGATTAACCCGGGTTGTGGTGTACTGGTGTGACTCTGGGGGCCAAGCGCAAAGCGATTCACGAGAATATGTTCCAAAGCCCCCCGCCGACTCACTGCTTTGTGGAAAGGTTCGTTGCTGAGCTAGAGCTAGTTAAACCAGTGGGGAATGTTCGGCAAATGGGCAAGGTTACAGTACCAAAGTGGATTCCGCCTCCACAAGGGTCACGAAGATAAATGTGGATGCTGCAACATTGAAGAACTCCAATATCTCTGCAGCAGCAACTGTGCCGCGTGACGGAGCTGGCAACTTCCTTGGCGCCTCAACTCTAGTGTTGGAAGGTATTGTCGATGCCGAAATGGTGGAAGCGATTGCCTGTCGGGAAGACCTTGCATTAGCAAGTGATCTCTCGTTGCAGAATCTTAGAGTCGCAAGCGATTGCGCCAATGTAGTAAGCAGCATTCTGGGAAAGGGGATGTGACCATATGGTCCTATAATACAGGAGATTAACTCTAGAAGAAGATGCTTCGAAAGGGTAGAGTTCATCCACGAAGGTAGGCATTACAACGTTGATGCACATAGAATAGCTAGAAGTGCAGTTTTATGCACACAGAATAGCTAGAAGACATGTGTGGTTTTTATCCCCACCCGATTGGGTTTGTAACTCTCATTCAGTTTAATAAAGGGTGAAGCTTAAAAAAAACAAAACTGACTCGATAATCGGCAGGGATTAGAACAAATCGGCACAATTAGCCAAGATTTGGACCTATTTGGCACGATTAGCAAGTTTGGGGACTCAAAAATACGTTTTCAAAGTTGATGAAATTATTTGGCACGGCGCGACAAGTTTAAGAGCCCGTGGTGCATTTCAGTCTTTCCCATTTTCTGTGCGGACAGTGTAGTCAAACACTCAAACCCATCTCCCAATGGTCAATGATCTAAGACAGTGTGACGAAACTGCCCCTCCCCCCGTTCTCCCCACTCCCCACTTCCCCAGTCCAGTCCACGGTCCACCCCGCGACCCAAAACCTCGAATCACGCCGCCGCCCCACACCCCCACCCACCCGACCCCGCCACTCCGCTCCCCAAGGCCCCAGAGAAAATGGGAATTTTGACCTTACGGGGAGTGGGTTTCGCTAGAATGCCCTTAAATTTGTAGGCTTCGTCAGAATGCCCTTATGAAAGGTGTGTTTCACGCTATTTTGTCATTTTGTGTTTTTCCAACTTTATAAATTTCTGACCCAATCTTTCTAACCCGGCGTGACCGTTTTACCCATATCTCCTTCCACGTTATCCTCTTGCTCTGCTTCTCACGGTCACGGCAATTTCTCCTTTCTCTCCCGTTCTCTCTCCGTCTCGACCGGTGTTCGGGCGGGAAGCCGCCGCCGCCCTTTAGAAATTTACGCACAGTAACGGAGGGGTTGCTCTCCAACCTGCTGTTGAACGAACGCAAGCACAGGAACCAAGAAGGCCACGCACGGCCAGGAGCCCAGGAGCGAGCACAGCTCGGTGCAAGCACGCATGGTGCTGATGCGCTCAGTGCTGGGCTCCGGCTCGGCGAGCAGTGCACCAACTCACCAAGGGCGAGCACGCTGCTGTGTTGGTTTGCTCGGGGCTGGAACACAGGAGACCGACGAACGCAAAGAAGCCACCGGTCGGCACTCTGCCTGACGCGGCTGCAGGGGCACGGTGGAGGGGCGCTCAAAGGAGCCACAGAGGCTTCGGCGGGGCACTGCTAGGCGCTGAGCCTGACTACATCGGTGACCAACGAAGCCCACACCGATGCGGCCATCTGGAGCTCGAACGCAAGAACAGAACGAACACGAGCACGAACAGAGAAGGGCGAGCACAAAAATCGACGAAACCGGTCAAAATCAAAACGAATCGCTCCCAAACATTGCACAGGACCATCACAAGGGAGTTGGTGAGTATACTCTAAGAGATCATCGCCCAATTTCAGCTTAAACTCTAGGAAATGCAAGATTTGGGGCAAGAACGGGGGTTTTCACCCTAAACCAAAAATTGGATCGATCTACGAGCTCGTACCAAATTAGTTGAATCACTTGGAGGATTTGATCAGCACATATCCTTGCTCGAATCGACTCAAAAAGAACGAACAAAAATGCCCTTAAATCGACCAATTGAAGGACGAATAGGAGAGGAGAAAAACACACAGAAAACACAAGAACGCGGAGCTGCGAAAATAAAATCACAAATCTCTTGAATCCTAGTGCGGACATCAGGGTCACGCCCGATGGGAGCGTGGCTCGCCGGGGTGCAGACCGCCGGAGGCACGGTCACAGTGGCACAGCCCACTGGGGCTAGTGAGGGCCGCCACCGAGGCCAGCCGGAGCCGCGAGGACCGCCACCGGGGCCGACAGGGGCGACGAGACGCCGCGGCCGCCAGGGCACTGCCTACCGGGGGGCGTGGTCGCCAGGGGCGCGGCTGCCGAGGACACGAGATAGGGCGCGTTCGCTGGGGCAGAGACGGGGTGCGACCACCGGAGCGCGCTGCCAGCCGGGGACGCGGCCAGCTAGGGACATCGGTCGAGATGGAGAGAGAACGGGAGAGAGGAGAAATTGTCGTGACCGTGAGAAACAGAGCATAAGGCAGGAGGAGACAGGATAAAATGGTCACACTCGAGTAAAAAAATAGGTCAGAAATTTACAAAAGTTAGAAAAACATAAAATAACAAAATAACGTAAAACACACATTTGATAGCACGTTCTATCGAAGCCCACGGACTTAAAACTTAAGGGCGAATGCCACTCCCCGTTTTTTTTAAGGCAAAATTCCCATTTTCTCAGGCCCCGACCCCACTCCACGGCGACGACCCACTCGCCTCCCCGCCGGCCACCTCGAGCGGCGGGGATCCACGGCGAGGTAGCCCGCGACCCCGACCCCGAGCCGCTAACCTGATCCGCGGCGAGGGCCGGGCGGGAGGCGGCGAGATCGACGGCGGGGCTCCGCTCGGCGCGGCGGGTGCGAGAGCATCTTAGTTGAGGTAGGATTCGGCGGCGGAGAGGCGCGGCGCGCGGCGGAACGCGGAGGTAGGATTCCGGCACCTCACCATTTCTCGGTCAAACTCCATGTGTGGTTCGTGGTCCCACCTGCCGCGGCTGATTTGCTCTGCTCTGCGCTCTGCTTCTAACAGTCGGGTCGAAATGTTGGTGTGGGATCCCGTCCTTTCAGTGTGAAAACTGCTATTTTTAGGGAAGTCCGGTTGTGTTCCCTAGCTCGGTTTGGTTGGGGTACTTGAGTGTTCTACTAGTTGACCATGGCGAACGCCCAAGTTGATCTTACGAATCCGATGCTCTGGTCTAGATTCGTTGTGTGGTTGCCTTCTCTAGCCGTTCTTAGTGACAAACTTAGTCCGTTAGCTCTCGAGGAACGAGATATTTGGATCATTCAAGGATTTATGTTTGACATTCCTGATGCATTCAGTCTCCTGGCCTAGTATTTGTTTTCTAATTCTGGATGATAATGATGTGTGGGACATTCAATGTTTTAGATAATTGGAGATGTTTTGATTTGTAAACAGATTTGCTGAACTTGGTATGCTCTTTGGCATCTGCAGGTTTTCTTGCTGATGTTACTCATCTCATTCCTCTGGGCACTGAGCAATCGTTATGCTTTGTGACTAACTCTGGATGGTGAAAGCATTCGGGAAGTAGACAACATCAAGATGGCTGTTGGGCGTTTCTGTGCTGCTCTTCTCCCAGTACTCCTCTGTTCTATGCTATGTCAGATTTGCTATGGCGCAGTAAGTGACATCGAATGTCTGAAGAGGGTGAAAGCATCGATTGATCCCAGCAACAAGTTAGACTGAACATTCAACAACCATACTGAGGGATCCATATGTGGATTTAGAGGCGTGGACTGCTGGAATCCCAATGAAAACAAGGTTCTTTCTCTTCACCTTGGCAGCATGGGTCTTAAGGGCGGGTTCCCTGATGGACTTGAGAATTGTAGCAGCATGACTTCACTGGATCTCTCGAGCAACAGCCTTTCCGGCACGATCCCTGCTGATATCTCGAAGCGGCTGCAGTACATTACAAACCTTGATCTGTCATATAATGGCTTCTCAGGAGAGATACCAGAGGCGCTAGCTAACTGTACATATCTCAATGCTGTCAACTTACAGCATAATAAATTGACTGGAATACTCCCAGGTCAGCTTGCTGCTCTTAGTCGCCTAAACCAGTTTAATGTTGCTGACAATCAGTTGTCAGGACAGATTCCTTCATCTTTGAGCAAATTTCCATCCTCCAATTTCGCAAATCAAGACCTTTGTGGGAAGCCTCTGAGCAATGATTGCACTGCAACTTCAAGCAGTCGTACAGGGGTAATTGTTGGTTCTGCTGTTGGTGGTGCAGTTATAACTTTAATAATAGTTGCTGTTATTTTATTCATTCTCGTACGAAAAATGCCTGCGAAGAAGAAGGGAAAGGATGTAGAAGAAAATAAGTGGGCAAAGACTATTAAGGGAGCAAAGGGAGTGAAGGTTTGTTTTTTGTTCCAGAACTTGTAATACTTTATCAGTTTGTATTTTTGTATAATTCTTTCAATAGCCTTGATATTATTCTTAACAATGCGACTTTGCTCCCTTGTTTCTCCAGCGTCTCATAGCCTCATAAGAATCATTAGTTTTAGTTTGGGATCTCAAGATATTACCATACTTATGAAGGGTAAATTGTGTATATCGGGCAGTTGACTAATTATATTAACATGTTTACTATTTAAATATGACGCCTACTTTCTTACCCAGTCATGTCAAAACTCTACTCCCACCCATCACACTCCAGTGTTACAGGGACACAGGTGCGAGTATTGGTGTCACTAGCAGTGGAAGAAAAAGAATAGTTGGGCTTAGGAGTTTGTCTACAGATTGGAGATAGAGTTAGTTTGGAGAGTGTTTTGGTTATGGCTTGTTGATCAAGCTAGCAAATTGTTAGGAAGGTTGTTAAGCCAGGTTAGAGATTTGAGATTGGTTGTTAGCTTGAATGTATGTAACAGGAGTGACATTATATATGAAGGGTAGGTCAATCTGTGATATCAAGCATAATTTAGAGCGCCCTTGGATGGTGAACCCATTTATCTTGCCGTTCTTTTTTTCCTTCTTCCACCCAAATCCAACACCCATATTAATATACCGGTGCTAGGAAACATTGAAGCTATATTGTCTTGAACTAAAAGGTATCCAACAAATAAAAGAAGTATAGTGCATGCTAAACTTTCCATTTCTGAACTTTGCTTAGATGAGTGGTTTGATTTGCTGCATTTTCACATTTTTTTGTCATTTAGGTATCTATGTTTGAGAAATCTGTTTCAAAGATGAAGTTGAATGATCTTATGAAAGCAACAGGGGATTTTACAAAGGAGAACATTATTGGAACTGGTCGATCAGGAACCATGTACAGAGCAACACTTCCAGATGGTTCATTTCTTGCTATCGAGAGGTTGCAGGACACTCAGCATTCAGATAACCAATTCACATCTGAGATGTCAACGCTAGGAAGTGTTAGGCAACGTAACTTAGTGCCTCTTTTGGGATACTGCATTGCCAAGAATGAAAGACTCTTGGTATAAGTACATACCCAAAGGTTCTCTTTACGATCATTTACACCAACGAAGCAGTGAAAAAAAGGCTTTAGAATGGTCACTGAGGCTAAAAATTGCCATTGGAACTGCTAGGGGATTGGCATGGCTTCATCACAGTTGCAACCCCCGGATTCTTCATAGGAACATTAGTTCGAAGTGCATATTGCTTGATGATGACTATGAGCCTAAGATCCCTGATTTTGGGTTGGCAAGGCTCATGAATCCCATTGATACCCACCTGAGCACATTTGTCAATGGTGAGTTTGGTGATTTGGGGTACGTAGCTCCTGAGTATACACGCACCCTTGTGGCCACCCCTAAAGGAGATGTCAATAGTTTTGGAGTCATCTTACTTGAACTCGTCACTGGTGAAGAGCCAACACATGTGTCAAATGCCCCAGAGAACTTCAAAGGCAGTTTGGTGGATTGGATGACTTACCTATCAAACAACTCTATACTTCAGGATGCGGTTGACAAGTCCTTGATTGGGAAGGACAATGATGCTGAGCTGCTTCAATGCATGAAGGTTGCGTGCTTTCTTCTCCGAAGGAAAGACCTACAGTGTTTGAAGTTTACCAGCTTCTGAGAGCTGTTGGAGAGAAATATCATTTCAGCGCAGCTGATGATGAATTGACCATGCAACCTCAAAATGCCGATCCTGAAGATGAGCTTATTGTGGCAAACTAGTTGAACTTTGTGATGAGTAGGTGCGTGTCAGATACCAAAAAAATGTAGGAGTTGTTGTAACTTGAATAATCAGGTCAGTCTGAAAGTATTGCTCTGTATCTTTTCAGCTTCCTGCGCTACCGACCAACAATTAGGAAGCTCTAGGATATGCCATTGGTTGAAACATCTGTACCATTTTGTGTTGTTCATGTTCTGTATATCCTTTGCCTTGTATCTTCAGGATTGCTATGTCTTGGTTGTAAGATGGTTTGCTGGATTAACTGTATCCTTGTCCAAATTTTAGCTGTAGTGATAACTTTAGTAATGTGAAACAATGTTGATCTGTTGATGTTTTTGTGGCCTTTTATGTTGCATTTTTGTTTATGTTTTCATTCATGTTCCTTCCTAGTTTCAAATGTTCAATGTTGATTGGTTTTGGAGTTGCAAGCATTTTAGTTTCCAGTTTGATGTCAGTTCTGCATTTAATGAAGCTCAGGGCACACTTGTGCCGGATCATATAATTAGAGCACATTTATTTTTTGAGGTGTATGCTTCCCCTACTCCGTAGTCCCTACAACAAGATGACGCTGGTGGGCACCGTTTCTTGGAGCATTTTTGTGGTTATTATGTGCAACAGGATCTCTGATTTCATTTATGCGAGCTATACTGTGTTTAACTCTCAGAAAAAAGCCATTCCACTACTGAACTAATGCTCAGTCCCAAAAGATGTCGCTTATTATATCTTGCCGATAGAGACATGCATCCTTTTGATTAAAATATATTTCTTCCCCAGTATTATTGTTTCATGGTGAAATAATATTTCAGATCCAAAGCTCCATAACCTCATTACAAACAATTATATTTAAAAAGTATCAATGAGCATGTTTCATGGCACTACTGCTCATTTTCCCCAGAATATTCATCATGTAATATTCCTCATCAACAGAATGAAACATTACTCATCTGCTCAAGCTTGACGTAAAGTACATGGTTCAGGTATTACATGGAATTCCGAATTACCAAAATAATACTTACACACATTTTTCTTATTCCTTCCATAAAATGAGAAAGTATCTGGAATACCAAGAGGCACAGAGATATTAGACCATATCAAGGAGCTCAGACTTGAATTTCCGACCCAGCCGAAATCTCAGTTTTAAGATGGGCCATTCACCTAGAAGTTTAGTAAGGATGGGCAATAAACCTGTCAGAACGCAAACCGTAACAGACAACCAGAGGAGACGAGGGGCCAGAACTGTGTATAAACCAGTTGCGAATGCTGTGGTAGTTGCCACGTACGCAAACCACATAAGCTTCTTTGTAAAAGATCTGTAGTAAAGCAAGAACTCAAGATCCTCCCACTTTGCTATGATGCATATGAAAGCCACAGCAAGTGAAGCGCACATTGCTAAGGTGTCAGAGATCAAGAATGCTTGAAACGCAGCCTTCCTGACCATAATGGGAAGTCCCTGGCTTCCGGCATCACTGCTGTAACCTCCTGGCAAAGTAAAAGCAGCAGCAAAGGTAATTGTCGCGAGGAGGATTGCCACTAAGGAAGTGTTGCCTGTGTACGTTTGAGTCAGTGACTTGATATCCGTTCTTGATAAGTTTGTCATTTCATCCTTGGCATCCTTGTGGAGATTATAAATAGATCCTGCCTCTTGAGGATCAGCTTTCAACAAAAGCATGGATATTTCATTCTGCAAAAATCCAAAGAAGCATGCAAATAGAACTTGTAGTAATTAATATAATACTATTGGACAAATGAAAATCTACAATCACGAGGTCGGTGCAAAGAAGCATGCAAATGGAACTTTTAATTAATATAATACTCTTGGAAAAAAAATGAAAATCTACAATCACAAGCTAGGTTGGTGCAACGACTTTTTTTTAGTGCTGTTCCCTTCGGTTTCATTGCTGCAATGGCCTTCTATAAAAAAAAAACCCTACATTGTTACAGCGTGCTTAAATGGTATTGAATTCCATCTAGATTTCACAATCCGTTATGCATGGGTACCAAAGGGATGCAACCATTTTTTGTACTCACTCCATTTCAAATTACAGGTCGTTTGACTTTTCTAGATACACAGTTTTTGTTATGTATATAGACTTCGTGTGTATCTAGATGCATAGCAAAATCCATGAATCTAGAAAATCTCAAACAACCTACAATTTGAAACAGAGAGAGTAATATGTAAAATCATTTCATAATAATATGAAGTGTCCAATCAAACTAAAACGTTTGTTGGCACGGTTGCTAAAATCAAAGTAGTAAATTAGTTTTAAAATCGGTGTTGTTTGCGTAAACTAGTTAGAGAAATTTTAGAATGATTGGAAAAAATGAGAACCGTTGCTTAACGCATCTTAGGTGGGGAACAATAATATGACGGTGATGAAGGCTGGCATACATGCTGATTTAGTGGACCAACAACAAACTGAGCAAACATGTATACGTACCCAGTTTAAAGTCTTGGCATGATCAGTGGCACCATATAAATTCCCCTTTACTGGGACACCTCCGTTGTTAACCACTGTGACGTCCGTATCTTGGTGATGCAGTAAAGAGGCGACCATCTTCGGATTGCACTTCAGGACTGCCATAGACAGAGCAGTATCTCCGACTGAATTTTGCATGTTAATGAGCTTACCAAGCTGTGGCGAACCGAGTACAAATTCTACGAACTCCGTCTTTTCATAGTCTACAGCCTTGTGCAGACATGTCCAGCCATTTTTATCGCAATAGGGAGCATCTGGACAATGTTTAAGAAGCTCTCGAGCAACACCAACATGTCCTCGTTGTGCAGCAGCATTAAGAAGAGGGGCACTCACTGAGTTGACTAAATACCCTAAAGACCGATCATGTTCCAACAATACTCTTAGCACGTCAATCTTGTCCCATTATACAGCCAGGTGCATTGGAGAATTGCCATTGCATTCTTCTCTTGCCAGCTCAGGACGTGTCTCCATAATCTTTTTAGCGATGGCTGCAAACAAAGGCAGTAAAGACATGTAATAGCCACGAAATGGTAAAGAATACACTAAAATTTTTTGTTCCGCCAGATAGTACGCATTTCTCACCAGAGTTACCATTTCTCACGGCAGCATGCAGAGCATTCCAGCCGTTGGGTCCCACATGAGCTGAATCAGGAATCTCCAACAGTTTCTCGAAGACATCAGCATAATCTCTCATCACTGCCATGAACATGGGTGAGTCGTTGTGCTTGTTCACAGCGCGCGACAAGGCAGGCTCTGCTTCAATCAGTTCGAGCGCGAGCTTCCTGTATCCGCTACGGATGGCGTTGTGCAGTGCGTTGAATCCGTTCTTGTCTTGCTTCAAGATCGCCTCGTCCAGCTGCTGATCGCGGCAGCACACGAGTAAAACAGAGGTTACAGAAACACGTCCGTTTGTCACGGCGCTGTGAAGCGGCGTCTCGCCGTCTGCATTGATGCTGCCAGCGAGGAGTGACGGGTTCAGAGCCAGCACGGCCTCGCAGAACACCTCGTGGCCATGGACGGAAGCGATGTGGAGGCAGGTGTTCCCCTGAGGAGTGGTGCCAAGCAGAATGTCCGGATCGTGTAAAGCCAGGTGCTTCATAGATACGGCGTCACCAGTTATGGCTGCTTCCATGAGACGCTAGTCCATCTGTCCTCAACACCAGTTAGATTCTCAACAATTTTTAGTTCTTCAATATTATATTTTTGGATCCATGAATGTTTTGTTTAGATTTCGTACCGAATTGTCGTCGTTGAGATGTGAAATCTGGTGCCCCCCCTCCGAATCGACGTCGCTTGAATCGGCTTGTGGCATCCCTTGTAGCAGCTTCATGAACCCTTGTAGCAGCTCGCTTGAATCCGCAAAACATTGAATCGGGTCACCAGATGAACTGTTCTCCCTCCCTCTTCTACCTCCAGCCGTAGTGTGTGTGCGGGAGCGCCGGTGAGCGGTCGGCTTACCCGTGCGAGTGATCTCGGACCCAACAGAGAAAACAAACCTTGAATCGGGTTGTGGCAGGTTCCTCGGGTCACCAGATGAACTGTTGTTGGCTTTTCTTGATTCCATCTAGCTTTGGCTCAAAGATCAAACCAATAGCAGGTGGTGTCTTGTATTGAGTGGCAAGTCCACAGAGGTTCCGCAACAAAGTAGTTGGAAACTTGGAATAAGGTCCATGCTTGATTATCGGTTCTGAAAAACAGAAACAGACCAATATTTGGATAATCAGTTCTGGAAAACAAAAACGGTTTAAATGCTATGCAGCCAAGGGTTCCCAGATTCCATATGAGGTGATGCACGCGCCATGAGTCAATTTCTCAAATTCGGTAGAATGATTCCATTCCTCGTACTGTTACCAACTATTAGCTTGTGAGAAATAAGACGGTGATAGATCAACTTATTCCATTCAGCAAACCAAACAAAAAAGTGAGGAATGATGAGAAGATGGACTACCTCATTCCTCACACCCTGTAAGTGAACTGACTAATACTGCAAGGACTGCAGCCCAGTAAAAAGAGGCAAGGAGTAGCAATTGATTCTCCATTAGCTTAACCTTTCCTTGCATCATCGTCTGCCTGCCAATGCCAAGAATATTTGGCGGTACATACATCTCGGCTAAAGGATACTATGGATTTGAGTTTGGCATGGGCTCCTGCCTTATCGATCATAATGTCAAACGGCAAATTTCATTCTACCCCAAGAACAGGCGAACACTGAAACATTTTGTAAGAGAACGAACCGGAAGGGAGCAGGAAAACAGCATTGGTCGGAAGAAAAAGATTACAGCGGAGTACCTTATAGTCCTAGTAGCAGCAGCAGCAACAACAACAACAAGAAGATGATAATCAGTCAAACGAGGCAGAGGCAGAGCTTCATCCTCTTTGTTGGGAAACAAGTTTCAGGAGGCTCGAGTGCGATAGGATTAGAGCAGTCCTTGTGATTCGATTCCAAGAACTAGGGCTCTCCTTTTATAGTGTCTCGGAGGACACTTTACATTCCGCAATTACCCTTACTCACCCACTACATTCCTAGAATATGCTTTACATAGAGGTCTTTTTAAGAGGTAACTTGTATGACTTGTCTCCTCCTTGAACCACGCTTCCCACGCCTTCAATCAGTCACGCGAATCACGCTCTCAGCAAGCCCCGCGACTCATGCTCCCACATTTTCAGCACCTCCATGTCCCTGACCTCGGGCCCGAGACCACCTTAGCCTCGGGCCAAAGAGACACCACCTTCGCTCCACGACCCTCAGCTTGTTTCAACGACCCTGCACAAGATAGTGGACAACTCGGCGCTCGAATCAGCTTCAAGCGCTAGAGGGTAAGCTTCATTACTGCTCGATGATCAGTAATTGTTTCCCGGCTTCGAGACTGACCTCGCGTATATATGGCCATGCAGCCCGCAGCCCGTTGGCCCGGCCCGAAGCCCATTTTTTTGGCCCGGACCGGTGGCCAGCGGGCCTGTGCCAGCCCGGCCCGGTGGAGCCGCCCGTGCCTGGGCCGCTCCCCAGGCACGTCGGGCGGCATGGCCCGGCCCGCTATTACGCGGCAGGCCCGGGAGCGGCCCGGCCTGCTAAAAAGGCCACACTGGCCACCTCCACTTCCACTCCACTCAGCCTCCATAATCCCTCCATCCGGCCTCCCCCATCCTCGGCCACGCCGCCGCCTCCACCTCCACTCCACTCCGCCTCCCCCATCCCCATGCCGCAGCCTCCAGAGCTCCACCTCCACCACGCGACGGCGTCGAGTGCGGCGGCGGCCGCCGCCTCCATGGCCCCCTGCGTGTCTGGCTGTGGCCGCCTCCTCCGCGCCCCGCTCACGGCTTCGAGCGGAGCGGCCTCCATCCCATCCGCGGCGCCGACCCCCTCCTCCTCGGCTCCTCCCCGTCCCTCGACCTCCGCGCCCCCGCGCGATAGTAGTGCCGGCGTTGAGCACGGCAACGGCCGCCTCCTCCACGACCCCCCGCGCGTCTGGCCACCTCCTCCGCATGCCCCTGCAGCGGCTTCGAGCGGAGCGGCCTCGATCCGGCCTTCTACGCCCTCGATCTGGCGGGACCACCGCGGATCCGCTAGCTACTTCGCCGGACTCGCCTCCTCCGCCAGCTACTTCGTCGGATCCGGCATCAAGCGACTCGGGGGGCCGCCACGGCCACCGCCACCTCCACTCCTCGCCTCCCCCTCCTCTCTATCGCATTTGGTAGGCCTCGGGCCAGCCCAACCTGCTAAAAAGGCCGGGCTCATCGGGCCGGCCCGGCATGGAAATTGGCCCAATAGGTCGTGCTTGGGCCGTCGGCCAGGCACGATGGACTGGTGCGGCATGGCCCGGTGGCCCAATGGGCCCTTCCGTGCCGTGCCCTATCAGGCCGTGCCTAGCACGGGCCCATGCCGTGCCGGACCGGGCTGGCCCATTGGCCATATATAACCTCGCGGCAGTGTCACGAGGTTAGAACTGTCTTTCGTGCTAGATTTGTTCGTCGAGGTTAGGAACCCTCACCCGAGGCTACTTATTCTGTGGGGCTGAGTTGATCATGCTAAACAAAACGACCTTGAGGGTGACCATCTTTTTTGGGCGATCCCCAACACTCTTCGCCACAGAGGAAACGCTCACAAGATGTGTGAGAACTGAAAAATAATACAATGTGAATGGAGGAGGGGAGTGGTCTGGCGGCCAGTAGTATTTGTTGCCATGGCTCTACTAGCGCCAAGTGGCCATTCACTGCTTTTCGTACAACACCTGTACCGCATTAATTTCCCAGCACTAGGCAGCACAGCCTGCACATGTTTCACATGGCATTTTCCTGCAATGCTATTGATGAGGTGTTTTTTCTAGCTGTACCAGCGTGGCAGCGTCTGTACAAATGTGATCGACAACCTACGGGAGAGTTTGAAGCTGACAATATAGCAACACGCGTGGATCAGTTATACCAATCAGGTGAACGATTAGTGTCCTGGACTCCTGGTTGACCCCAGGTCAAGAGAGCCAGGCTTCTGCCCTTGTTCGCCTTGTGCTTCCCCAGTTCCACTCAACGTCTCGCCAATATTGTTTGGGTGGATCGCGAACACGAGCTCTAGTAGCGAATGTCAATGCCTAGAAACGTGAACTTTGGTTATTGGTACAGGCATATTTGATCTTCTTTTAATCATTTGAGGAATTTTTTGTGCCTTTAAGCCTTTTGACTTTGAAACCTCACAAGATCCCACCGGTGCCATACCTAATCTACAAATGAGCTAAAGACAGGAAGATAGTGTTTGGTTCGTGCTAAGGTAATGTAAACGCAAAGGGGATCAGATTACAGTGTATTTAGTAGCGGAATGAATGATTACCCTCTTTTTTTGGTTGCACTCTGTTAACGTCACGGTATGGGTGCTGTATCTGATTAGGTGGAGGAGGAGGGGTAACAAGCTTGTATAGATATTATTTAGGTAAGGGATTCGATTACAGTGTCAATTGATTACAAACCACCGCAACCAAACATTACAAACCACCACAACCAAACATATGAAATGAGATTCGTTACCTTCAGTAATCAGATTACGTTCCATTAGAGCCAACCAAACACCACCTCATTGAACTCAAAAGCTACAAATATGCAAGATGTAAATTGAAAGCTAATAACAAAAACATGTTGTTAAGAATAAATTAAACTGCTTTAAATTCTCATATAGCATCTCTCTTTGACCAAAGATGTCTGGACAAAAAGATACCAGTGGAGTGATCAAAAGATGATAATTCAGACAAATAAAACAGGAAGAGAACATATCTGGATTCTAAAATGATCAGTGCACGGTCACCTTGTTCCCATTTCCTGGTCCACACTACTATAGCGGTACCTGTTACAAAGCGTAAGGGTCCTAGTAAACAGTAATCAGGACGGTAACCTCTGTTCATCAATTAATCTAGTCTCCATCAGGCTCTGCTAGCACCAAGCGGCCATTCGCAGCTTTTCACCCAAACGTACGGCTACCCAAGAGTCCGTAGCGTCCATACAGATGTGATCGACCACCTACCCAAGAGTACGCAATTAAATGGGAGAGTTTGAAGCTGAGAATGCAGCAACACGCGTGGATCAGTTATACCAATTAGGTGAACGATTAGTGTCCTGGACTCCTGGTTGACCCCAGGTCAAGAGAGCCAAGCTTCTGCCCTTCTTCGCCTCGTGCTTCCCCATATCTAATGTCCAAAGTCGAAACATAATTTCAAGTTCCAAAAATTTTCACTCAACGTCTCGCCAATATTGTTTGGGTGGGCGGCGAACACAGAGCTCCAGTAGCGAGGATGTCAATGCCTAGAAACACGAACTTTGGTTATTGGTACAGGCTTATTTGATCTTCTTTTAATCATATGAGGAATTTTTTGTGCCTTTAAGCCTTTTGACTTCGAAACCTCACAAGAACCCACCTGTGCCATACCGAATCTACAAATGAGCGAAAGACACTAAGATAGTGTTTGGTTCGTGCTAAGGTAATGTAAACACAAAGGGGATCAGATTACAGTGTATTTAGCAGTGGAATGCATGATTACCCTCTTTGTTTGGTTGCACTCTGTTAACCTAATACGATTACGATGTGGGTTGCTGTATCTGATTACGGTGGAGGAGGAGGGGTAACAAGCTTGTATAGATATTATTTAGGTAAGG